CCATGTTTCTTATAAAAAAAAACACGGCAAAATCCCTCTTTTCCAGCCACTTTTGTTGAAAATTGAAATTTCCCGTTCTCTAACTTTTTCTCCGCCTCAAGCTTTTTTTCCCCAAACATACAGCTTTACAAACAACCGGAAGCAGTTCCACGCCAATATATCACAATATAATAGATCAGAAGAAATTGATTTTTATAAACGTTTTTTTTTTTAAATGAAGCTTTTTAAATGCCATGTAAGCACATTTAATGAATTTTAATGCCAATTAAGGCCTTGATTTAAAAAAATAATAATTTAATGACTTTTGATGATTTTTAATGACCTGCGGAAACCCTGCAGAAGAAAAATAAAAAAATAAAATATGGATGAAGTTGTGGCTGGGGAAAAGAAAGCAACTATATAAAATGATTTTAAGATGGGGTATAAAACCTCACCTGTTTGGATAGTGTTACAAATACATCAGTTTGTTGGATTATATGGATAATTATCCTACTACTATTATTCTATAGTAATAATCAAACTATTAGTTTGAAAAAAGACTGAAATTCCACTATATCACATTTTTTTTAACCATGCCATTTTAGAGTTCTGTACAGCACTTGTTACAGCTTTACTAGCTGTACTTTTGGGTTCCTTTCCAAAAATAAAAATTTTAACTGATATTTACTGATGGTAATGTTTGTATTTGTTAATGATGATTGAGTTGAAGAAAACACTTTATTATTAAAAAGTAAAGTGCAGTAAAGCACAGTTTAAGGACAATTATCAGCAACTCACACAACTCGTATATGGAAAAAAGGAAACAGAGTAGATTTAACCTAATAACTCTTAAATGAACGGTTACATTTTCCCATGTATGTTGTCTTGCAAAAGGATTCATGCACCTTGAACTTATCCTACTGCACTCGTTACAAACTGAAACTGCCTGTAAATTACACACACGTTTAGGTGTGGACTTTAACTAGGTCACGATGAATGTCCTGTATTCTAAACCATCCCATTGTTCCTGTGGCTGTACATTTATGGTCAGGGTAAACCTCCGATCGAAGTCAGGTTTTCTTCCAGGATTGTCCTTTGTTTACCGCCATATAGATTTCTATAAACTCCAACCTGCTTCCCTGGTAAAGAAAAGCAAGCCCACATGACAATGCAACCACCACCATGTGTCACCATGATGATGGTCTGTTCAAAATGAGGTGGAATTTGACATTTGAATTGAGAAAGCTTCCTGGAGAGGTGGCGAAACATCTTCAAATCTTGGAAACCAAGTCCAGTGGATATTTTTTTTAACTTTTACGGAATGAGGTGGAGTTTGAGTTTTAAAAAAATGGGTTTTGCATGTACACCCAACTTCTTTGTTTTTCTCTATGAGCTAACCAGATTACCTTCTGCCACATATGTGGTGTGACATTTAGCTCCATTGATACTGCTGTAAATACACTGACAACAGTAAAGGTTTCTTCATTCATGCGATTTCCCTGTGAAGTCTCCCTCCAGAACACTTTCTCTCTGTCAGATGTTGAAGCAGATTACAAAATAGTTAGCATCCAGATGCAGATAAGATGTTTTGTTTTGTCTCAGTAATGCCTTCTCCATGAAATCTGTAAAACCAAAAAGGCTCTTTTGACCTCTGCAGCTGCTCCACAGTTGCTATGATTAATGCTCCACCTGTAGAGGTTGAGATTGTGCTTTATAGTCCAACCTTACCAAAGATATCTGTTGTGCTTCATCTGCTTCCTGATTATAATTGGCTGCTCAAGAGGGTTAATTAAAAGGGCACTAGACTCATCTATCCACAACTGTGTAAGACTGAGATGGTCTCTTTAAACTTCCACTAAAATACTTTGAATTGTGATCAGTCCTGACAAAATGTTTACTGATTAGTTAACTTTATTGATCTCCTAGTAGAAAAATTTACTCAAAAGAAGAAGGTGCCAAAAGGAGGGAAAGGCACATGGGGGACTATATACAGTAAATACAGTGCATACACACACATATATATACAAACAGTCATGGCCAGAAGTATTGAGAATGACAAAAATATTATATTTTCAAATGATCTGCTGCCCTCTGGTTTTTATGTGTGTATATCAGATGTCATCACATACAGAAATACAATTGCAATCATATTATGAGTAACAAAAGCTTTTAATGACAGAATGAGTTAATGCAGAAAGTCAATATTTGCAGTGTTGACCCCTCTTCTTCAGGACCTCTGCAATTCTCCCTGGCATGCTCTCAATCAACTTCTGGACCAAATCCTGACTGATAGCAGTCCATTCTTGCACAATCAATGTTGCATTTTGTCAGAATTCCTAGGTTTTAATTTGTCCACCCATCTCTTGATGATTGACCACAAGGTTTAGATGTGATTAATATCAAGGGGAGTTCCCAGACCATGGACCCAAAATCTCTATGTTTTGTTCCCTGAGCCAGTTAGATATCAACTTTGCTTTATGGCAAGGTGCTACATCATGCTGGAAAAGGCATTGTTCATCACCAAACTGCTGTTGGAAGGTTGGGAGAAGTTGCTCTCAGAGGACATTCTGGTACCATTCTTTATTCATGGTTGTTTTTAGGTAAGACTGTGAGAGAGCCGACTCCCTTGGCTGAGAAGCAACCCCTCACATGAATGGTTTCAGGATGCTTTACAGTTAGCATGAGAAAAGACTGGTGGTAGCGCTCACCTCGTCGTCTCCGAACAAGCCATTTTCCAGATGTCCCAAACAATTGGAAAGGGGATTCATCAAAGAAAATGACAGAGACCAGGCCTTGCTCCAAGAGTCTCCACCTCACAGTGCGTGCAGATGCACGCACACCTGCCTGCTGCCCTTCCTGAGCAAGCAGTGCACTGCTGGTAGCCCGATCTCGCAGCTGAAACACTTTTAAGAGACGGTCCTGGCACTTGCTGGTCTTTCTTGGGTGCCCTGGAGCCTTTTTGGCAACAATGGAACCTCTCTCCTTGAAGTTGACTGAAGTAAAATCATTCTAGCTGCGATTCTCTTTCCTGTTAGGCCATTTTTTGTGCAGTGCAATGATGATTGCACGTGTTTCTTTAGAGATAACCATGGTTCACAGAAGAAAAACAATGATGCCAAGCACCAGCCTCTTTTTAAAGTGTCCAGTGGTGTCATTCTTACTTAATCATGACAGATTGATCTACAGCCCTGTCCTCATTACCACCCACACCTGTGTTAATGGAACAATCACTGAAACGATGTTAGCTGGTCCTTTTAAGACAGGGCTGCAATGACATTGAAATGTGTTTTGGGGGATAAAGTTAATTTTCTAGGCAAATGCTGACTTTGCAATTAATTGCTGTTACGCTCATCACCCTTTATAACATTCTGGAGTATATCCAAATTGCCGTTATAAAAACTGAAGTACATATCTTAATTTGGTTGGATTATTGTACAGGGTTATTGCACAGGGCATTAAATGGGTATTTATATAGATAGGTATTTATATATCTAGCTATTGCACAGGATATTAAATAGTAATTGTACATTAGATATTGCACACATTAATGCATTAATAGTGTCGCATCTTTGTAATAGTGTCACTGAAAAGATTCACGCATTTAAATACTCTAGCAGTGATCAGTAAACTAACCTTGTTCAGGTAGGGGTTCCTGGTGATGTCATAGCCGCGCTTTTTGGTGTAAACGTTGGACTTCTGGTTCGTCCCGGAGTGACAGACCCGCACAGCCTGGAAAGCGGTGTTGTCTCCCTGCACCGCCCCCGCAGGCCGACCCGGAGAGCCGAGCGGTACCCTCATCCTGCCTGCAGCCGCGCCTCTGCACAGAGACAAAGCGGCTTTTCCAGGGAGGGAGTTCATGCTTCCAAAGGGACACCTAGGGCGGAAAAAACACCCACCCACCCCCACAGAGGGAAAGTTACATTACAGTAAGGAGGGAGGACATTCACACCGGGATGCCAGACATGCCGTAAATGATACCAGCTCAGGCTCTATGTAAACAACCGGAAAACTGTTAGCTCAAAGCGGAGTCATAAAAAAAAAAAAAAAAATCAGGCCTCATAAATCCTTTGCTTGTTCAAATTGATGGTTCAGGAAAAAAAATCCAAAATTAGTATATATCATAGAAAAAAATGGTAAAATACGTATATATAAAAGATTGGGCGCATCTTCCATTGCTCTGCTAGCTGCTGTTAGCTCGTAAAGCTATTAAAACAAGCACAGTTTTCTAAAGAAACGAGCCTGCAAAAAACAGCAACTACACAAATATAGTTCAGTTGGCCTCACCTGAAAACTGCGTGGATAAGTTTAAGCACAGGCTTATTGCTTCATGGGAAGAACCGCTTTGGTCCTATTGAGTTTTATCTAACCGGAGATAGGAGGCTTGACAGCTGATTCAGGACCTCCTGACATTGGGCAGTTTTACTTCCGTGTTAAAGTAAGCCCGCCTCTTCTATCTGCAGATCAGCCAATCAGAGAGAGCGCTACGATGACATAGGCCAGGCCCCTGATATGTATCCATCTGTAGCCAACCTTCACTGTTATCTGAGAATAACACCTACGGTAGTCATTTGTTATCGTTCGATAAGGATTGTATTTAGGAGCGTTTTATTCACATACTTTTTTATTCCGTAAACCTTACAATCATAAAATTGGTACACTTAGTGTGACTAAACAAAAGTTTATTTTATTAGTGAATTGAAAACTATCCTTAATCTCAGATAAACTTTTATTCCTAACAATCTAAACTAAAGATTAAGAGCACAAAATTGTCTGGATACTTTAGATGCGAACAGCAGATCCCTTTGTAGAAACTCCTATTGGGACAAGTTTGAAAATAAATAAAAGAGAGATTTGCAAATTTCCAAACATGCCAAGAATCTATTAAAGAACAAAAATCACTCCAGTTCTGTCTAAAAAGTTTATTAAAACATATCTTATACATCACTTCATCCATTACAAAAGAAATGATTAGGTAAGATCACATTTATACAGTATTTTAGAGGGTTTTTTTCTTCTGCTTTCTACTGCAGCTGCTGAGTTTTGCATTTGCACTGAACATTGAATTGCAACAGGCAGGGTTTCTAGAGATGCAACAGGCACAATTTTGGGAATTACAGTGAGACAGGAGGAACATAACACCTATGATGGATGGGAAGCAACAGTTCCTGGAGTTGGAGAAACTGAACTTCTGTGTCTTGTTGCATTGAGACAAACTATCAGTGCTGATGAGGCTTTGACAGAGTGAAAGAGCACATTGGAAACGAAACATTTTGTCAATTAACATTAAAGATAGAAAAAAAAATAAATGCCGACATAGGCTGAAGTAAGGAATGTCAATCAGCTCCCTTTGTTTGCAGTGTCACGCCAGGTCCTCCATGCTGAGCAGGAGGTAGAAGCTCCTTCAATTTACAGCTGTGGGTGTAGCAGCTGGAGTGGAGTTTGTCAAACTGCTGTCTACATGACAGGAGAGTCACAGCATCTAAATGGGGAGATTTTGTCACTGCAATCACCAGTGGCGGTTTGAGAACAAATTTACCAGGGGGGCCATGGTGGGCCATTTTTTTTATTTTTAAATGGGGGCACAGAATAAAAGAATGGAACCAAAAAAAGTGAGACGTTCTTTGGTTCACTTAATATATCAAGCAAACCAGCCATTTGCAAGTCTGGAAACTTCATATCTAGAAGACAAAACTAGTGATCTTATAGGGATTATCGAAGCTAAAAAGGCAACTACTTAATTTTTTAAATCAAATAAAACTAAAATAAAAAAAGATTAAACTGACTTTTCCGTAGCAGTTTTTTTCCCAGGACATATAATTTATTTTTATTAAATGTTGTATTATGTAGTAGTAAAGGGGCCTTAATGGGGGTCCAGGACCAGTTCTATAGACCCACTGGCCCATGTCTAGAACTGCCAATTGGAATCAGGTCTGATGTGAAGGCGCTGTTATAGTCATACATGCATGTTTAAAAATTTGTGAAAACTATAGATTTAAATCATTCTTAAGATAATGTCTTTCACCACAGAAATATGCACACACAGACAATACATAAAAGATTCACATAACCAGCTAATTTAAATGGAAATGAACATGGTTTTCTTTATATAGCAGTAATTACACACAATGGAAGTGCAGTTCAAATATGCACATATTACACACACTGCCTGTAAAGCAGTTTACTTCAGTTTGTTAAACAGCTGCAGCTTCAAACGCCTTCATTTCACCGATGTGGAAACAGTGAGGAAAAAATAAGAAATGTTTCAGATGACTACGCTGGTACTGCTATGGGAGCCTCTATCCTAAGAGAGAAAAAGGTGAAAAAGCAGAGATTAGAGTCTAAAACAGAACTACTATGATCGCCACATGGAAAAAGCCACACAGAAAAAAAACAAAGAAGAAGAAATCAAAGCTATGACTGCAGAAATTTACAGCATTAGCTTTGCACATATGTGTTGTACCCACCTGCTGCCACTTGGGGGCAGTGTGAGAGATCTGTGGAATAGTCACAATGAAGCTTGCACATGTATGCTTTGCTAACTTTCTTTTATCACAGCCGTACAAAGAAAGGCGAAAACGTTTATAAACCACCAACTGGATTGTGATGGTGTTGCAGCTTTTCTGTCATTTTACTAAAGCGTAATCAAGAGTAAAGCAGTCTTTGCCATTCCTAGAAATAGTATAGTGAGAAGTCTGATTATTTAGCTCTGTAGTCTGCAGAGGCCATTTATAAAGGCCAAGTTTTCAGACATTTGCAGAAAAAATTTCACAAGATGTGGCAACGCTACATTTAGGTACACACATTTCTGGTTCAACATTCATAGATTTATGAATGCTGGTCAATATTTTTATGTCCCGACATCTTTGATGCTCCTACTTGAGAGAAAAGAAGTACTCATCAGCTCATACCGAATCTGCAGGGTTTTAGGTAATCTGTATATTTGGAGTATATTTAACAACTGAAGGGGAATTTTATTAACGCTCCACTAAACTGAGTGTTAAACTGATCTAAATGTTGACACTGTTGGCTTTCCGGGAAAACCCGTCCTGCCTTTCAAAGCCAAAGCTCTCACATGGAGACTACAAACTAAAGGCAGATCAGAAAATACAGCACACAGGGGTTATGTTTTAACACACTGCTGGTTCATTGTATGTATCAGCAGTAGGTGAGGATCTTACAGAAAGACGGTCGTAGTTCCTGCGACCAGGCTGGACCTCACTGGAGTAGTAGCTGGGAGGTTTTTCTGGCCAATCCTTCACTTTGCGTCCTTTCCTCCTGGTGCTGACCTCCTCATCCGAGCTCCAGGACCTTGTGCGGTGCCGAGGAGGAGAGTAGCTCCTCTCTCTCCTTGCTGATCTGCTATGCAGCTCCTCCATTAGGTCGTCACGGCTTCGGGTGCGTGGCCTGGACCCTCGCCCTCTCCTCTCGTTCCTTGACCCCCCATGCGTTGCTCTTCCTCCCTGGTTATCCCAGTCTGAATCGTCACTGTATTCACGCAGTATCCCCCTTCTTGGAGGAGGGTCGTCCCTGCTTCTGTACCCATGTCTGTCTCGCTGTTGGCCCCCTCCTGAGCGGTTGGTGCTGCCACTAGACTGACTGGACATTCTTGGATACCCCCTGGCCCCATTTCCTCCAGCTGTGTCCCTGCGGGAGGAAAAGCTGGGGACTCGCTGGATGATTGGAGGCAGAGTGATCACCCTTCTCTCCATCCCCCTCACCCCCATCTCGTCCAGAGCTGATAACATGCTGGGCGGACCAGGGGCGTAGGGCACCGCTGGAGGAGAGGGTTGAGGCTGCAGACGGGGCTGCGAAGGCGTCATGTTTCGAACGTTGTGTGGTGCCATTTGAGGAGGGCTCACATCAAGCCCTCTCACCTGGTTCTCCAGGTAGTCCAACATTGGGTTGGCTCCTTGAACGCTACTTCGAAGGCTGCTGTTCGCCATGTATTGTGGATGTGAAGTGTGGTGCTGCTGCTGCGGGGCCATTGGTGCCAAATGCATGGGAGTCATAGAGAGGTTTTGTTTCGTTGAGTAGTCTGATATGGAAGCTGGGACTAAAGGGGAAAAAAATATCACAGATTAAAAGTAAAGAAAAGCTGCAGTTATCAAGAACAAGATGCTGAATATACTAAAGCACAATACAAATGTGGAACAGGTTTGTGGATAGTTTTTATTAGCACAAGAACACGTTCTTGACTCTATAAGGTATGACCAAATAAACACACCCTGAGTAAAGACACCAATCTTTGAGCGGATAGATCTTTTCATGCCTTTCTTTGATGGATATTTACCAGAATAGAGCAAGGGAACACCCTGGGAGGAGGCATTGCTGATGTTTGTGTAAATAGGCTGACCGTTCATCCAGGGACCCATGGCTTTCTGAGCTTCTTTCAGCATCCGGTGCTGCATTACCGCTGCAATCAGAGCACAAACCAGAAATATTTCACTGTTTGAAAATAACAGGAATCAGACTCTGGATCAAGCCAGTCAGTGAATAGCATGTTCTAGCTGTAAATAAAATGCAAATTAAAGCCTGGTGGATAAAAAAAAAAGTATAAAAAAAGACAGACAACTGTGAAATAAAAGCAAAACGGGGAACTTAAATTAAAAAAAAGAAAATCTACAGCAACCGTTCATTCGTAGCTTATAAAGAAAATGCATTATTCTGAACTTGAAAACCCCGATACACTACGCTGTCATTTTTAAAAATCAAAGTAAAAGCTGATCTATCCAGTTTCTCTTTAATTCAGTCCTTGTCTATCGGCGTTTGTCCACACAGAGTCACATGGGTTGGAGTTTACAGGTGGTGGCAGTCTAAACAGGTCAGTCACAGAGTACAAGGTAACAGCAAAATCAACCATGGACACCAACACACACTGCTACACTCCACAGGGCAATTTCCAGTCATCAACTAACAGAACATCCACACTTTGGCATGTAAGAGGAGGCTGGAGTACCTGGTGGGATGCCCAGAAAAATGCCAAGGACTAACTTTATTACTATTCTTTTTTTTATTATTTAACTTTAGTTATTAATGTTTATTAGTACATTAAAAATAACTTGTGATGATTGTAGATTTCATAAGTAATACTTGACATTTATTATTATTTCTGTGTTTATTATAGATCATTTGCTTTTTTAAAGTTGTTTTTATATTTATCCAACTAATTTCCTCAGACTATAGTGTTTTCCTGAATCCTGATTCCACAATTGGCCGATTTAGTTATTTTTAATAACTTGAAGGTTTTTTATTTAATACATTTGCAGTATAACATTTCCATGGCTTTTCTCTTTTTAATATGTATAAAGCACAAAGTTATGCATCTTTAACCTAAAGAAATCTGACATTATGTACAGTTAGGGATATTTTTGTCATTATTATTCTGCTATTTCATTTTGTTGTACTTCACTGACAGCTTTCTGATTATATTTCATTTTAACCAGGATGCCTAAACATTTATTACATTACATAATTTTTAAACTGCAATTTTATATTTTTGATGTAGCTTTTAAAATATTAGGATATTGAACTTAACACTTTTAAAAGTTGAAATCTGTTTTCTGTAAATACCCCACTATACCCCTGTCAGCTCGGGGGGGTAACCAAACTTTTTCTGCATCTTTTTTGGCAGCCCAACCAAGATAGGTCAGCTCATTTTGAATTATAAAAACAAGAAACAGAATAAATTTGGACTAGATCATGTTATGCTAAAACAAACCCCCAAAAAGCACCTGCAATCTGCTTTAAGCTGTCCATACACCGATTTAAGATAAACTTTAAAGCAAAAAATCTGAAGTTGACAGAATTGTGTTTTGTTTTCTAAATTACTTAAAATATATCTCGGGTTTCTGACAGTGACAATTGGTGAATTTAACAAAATCTCAAGTTTTGAGTGAGTACCTCAAGGATAAAGGGAATCTAGATGCAAGTCTCTGTATACATTGACCCTTTTCTCCCTTTTTGTCCGTACAAATTCTGGCTTAAAACACACATGAAGCCCTCTCTAGTACCTTTTTCAGGACAACAGCAGGTCTGAGGACAACAGGGACAGCGGACATAGCAGCAGCACTTTTGTGGGCAGCACTGACAGCAGCATATGCAGAAGAGCATAATGAGCAACAATGCGCCGATGATGATGAACAGGACAGTGAGCCAGTCTGAAACAAGAAGACAGTAAAACTGACCTCAGCTTTGCGTTCTCTTTAAAAGCCTCAGCAGGAAATGACAGAGGAAACTTACGGTAAACAATGAGCCTGACTTCTCGATCCGAGTCACCCGTAGTGTCCCCAGGAGCCTCGATGCTGCAGTAGTACATGCCGTTATCCCACCACATCACCTCATTTATCACTAAATCTGCATCTGTTTAGAGAAAATTCTGTTTAAATCCCTCTGGGCTTCATCTCTGCAACAAAATGCTACTCAAACAATATATAACAACAATAGAATATGTTTACTTGAAAATGATTAGGCAAGTTACACATGCTGATAATGCCAAGGCAACAAATCCCACTGCTAGGATAAAACGTACTGTTCTGAATTGTGATTCTGCGATTTTTGTACTCTGCTCCCAGCATTGGCTGATTGATTCCCCTCTTCTGGATGACAGTGCGAACTGTTCGCTGGCTGTCTGGACAGTCATTGGCCGGATCCTGGCCGAGCTGCAGAGCCGCCTGATAAGCTTCAGAAACAAAGAAAGCAATGTATCAGGTTATACTCATTTAACGCTACAGTTGAGGATAAGTAATCATTAGGATAAGTATTTTTGTACTGATAAAATATTACTTTATTGCTGTAATATGAAAAAATAACATAGAATACTGCTGCTAAAAAAGCCAGATTCAGGTTAATAAAACTATGTACTGAGGAAAGAAGTTATCAACACTTCCTGGAAACATTGTTTGGCAAATGTGTCATAACAAGGGTTGTAACAGCACAGTTATTTCCAAAAATAAAAACCCAGCATCAGAAACACTGTTGTTTTATACCTGAATACATGCAGAAAGTTTACGTTACACAATCTTTGAAAGAGACAACAAAACAAACCAACGGAAAGTCCCCACTGCCCCCCATCTCTGCCGTTTGGAAATTAAGGTTTCTGCTGCAGCTAAATGAAGGGAAATCTAAAACCACTAAAGTTGTTTTATTTATTTATTTATTTATTTTTAATATGTCTGCACGGTTTTATCTAATTTCATTTTTATCTCGTGATTGAGGTAACCATAAGATGCAAAAAAAATGTGATTTAAAATCTAAACACTTGCAGAAACCATGACCTCCCTGACTTCCAGGACATTTAAACCAAGCATTACAAGTTAAGGGCCAAGAAAGTTTGTTTTACAAAAGCCTGGGGGCCAAAAACTCAAAGGCTGAAGAAGTGTTTACCCACAAGTCATTGATCTGCTTAATTCTGAGCCCTAAGCTGGGTATATTCTGCAAGTTCACCATTTAATCAGTTTTACTTATTCCGTTCTAGGATGTGGCTTCTTATTGCACCATATTTGCAAAACTATACCCCCGTGTAAATTCCACATCAACAGAATTTATAAAACTGTTCATATGAATAAAAATTAGCAGTAGATCCTTATTAAATTTCAAAATTGTTTTTTTTTTTTTTCTTTCCTGAGGGGCACATGATTTTGTACCCTGCCAGCAAGATGAATTGTCCCAAGATTTTTGAATTTACAAAATCGTGAAAATACATCTTTCCAGAGGGCAACTGATGCATTAGTCTCGATACCGAAATGTTTTGAACAGGTTAATGCAGTGACATGTATGACGTCATCGGATGTGGCAAGCTGAAGCAAAACAAACATGGCTGTGCAGATTTTAGCTGGAATATTCTCTATTCCTTTTTGAAAAATGAGAAAAATTATGTACCTTTGAGGATGGGAAACATGTTTCCGCTTTCCTCCCAGAAACTTGCAACATAGATATTGTGTAGAATTCAAATTAAACAACATGCATCAACCTGGTTTATGCCAAGTTACATATGCTAAGTCTAATTTTGGTTTTTTGTATGATATAACTGCCCCCTCCATAAAGGGGTCTCTGCTCCTCCACAACTGGCTTCAGATCTGCAAAGAACGCCATCAGTATTTTCCATAATTTTATTTAGTAGAAATCACATAACCCTAATGTGCCATCAGGGTTAAATGCATCATGTAATCAAAATGCAAAACCTTGTGTTTTTTACTCAGAACTCTCTTCTGATCATCTTAACTCTCCATACCTATTTTTCTGATTAAATCATGCTGGGATTATTAAGCTACTGGCATATCTGAAACCTTATTACCTGCACCTCACTGTCTTCCTCATGGCCAAACACAAAAAATATGCACTTGGCTTTAAGGGGTTAACAAAACAACGCAACAACCTCTATCTTGGTAGGTATGTAAATAAACATGCTTTATATAAATGAGCCCCGTGTAATGTCTAGATCACTGATCTGTCTGCTTTTCACAACATGATTGCGCAACAATAGCATTGCCTGTGGAGCCAGGTTGAATGCAGACTTGGACATCTGGTTTGTCTTGTTTTTGGCGATCACTTCAACAAATATCGTCCCGTACATCGTTGTTTAACAACGGTTAATATAACTCATCAGGGTCCATTTCCTGCTGTAGCAGATTGTATAATGTTGGATTTTAGGGTTAAATTATCAATGTTCTTCAAGAAAAGCTAAGAGAGAAGTTTCCATTAATGTTTTTTTTTATCTCTTTAAAAATATATATATATATTTTTTTTCCCAGTCCTTCTCTCCAGACATTTAACAGGTTCCACCTCCCTGTTGCACTTGGTGCATTTCTGTCCTGTGCAATAACTGTAAGGAGCTACGAAGCCAGAATGGATTTGGTACCCAAAATCTAATATTTGCTCTTCTTTTTGCCCATTTTACAGCAAACAGTATGCTGATCATACCGAGGCTCATCAGTATCTCTGCATCTGTTAAACACTATAATTAAAATATAATATCATAAAGGTCCTAAACTGCTGCTCGTTCTTTTTCTCCTCCTCCTCATCACTAAAAACAATAACAGAGCTTGACAGCATGAAAACTACGTAAAGACTGATGAGAGCAAGATGCGAGTTTACAACCTTATGCTCAATTTGGAGGTGTGTGCACTTCTCTCCAGATAGGAGCACTATTCCAAAGTGCAGCTCCGAGAACTTATATGAGCAATGGGCCGGATGAAGTCAGAACAAAAGTGGTCTGTATCATTGAGGTGATGGATTGCTTTTATGGGTTATACATAGCAGCTGTGCTTCTGTAAGAGTGATAATTAGTTGGCATGTTACCTTACTACAAGTAGTTCTGGTCAATTTTCTTTTTAATTCCTCTGATAAGTAAGCCATACCAGCATCTAGAGGCCACACATCTCTGATAAACTAACACTGCAGCAGTCAGGATCCTCTAGGGAGGAGCTTAGTCAAGACCCTGTAATCTTTCTATGTGTGGCAGTATGCCCTGCGGGCTTTGAACGCACCACACAAGTGCCGACCCAATTGGTTGTGGCGCTGTCTGTATATAAAGGGCCCTCTCTCACCTGGTCATCATGTTGTCCTTCCGGTTCAGACCTCGGTGTTTGCTGGCGCAGCACGCCAGCTGCATACAGATGCGCGCTCGAATGATGCGCTTTAAACTAAGCACTGATCAAGCCTTCTTGTGGTAAGAGTTATTTTAGTTTAATTCTGTTAGCCTAGCCTTAGCTCAGCTTTACTGATATATATATGCAGGTGTCCCATACAAGCGGCCTGATTCTTCTCCTTGCCAGAGGCACTACATAGAGCTCAGTGGTAAGTGAAAAGCTCATTCTTCACATGCTTCTAGATTCTATATTTTTTTGACATGCATGTTTGATTAGACGCTGCCGTTTGTCCTTGGCTGGCTGTTTTGTCTGCTGTTTCCGGCTGGCAGTCCGCATGTAGGCGTCCGTCGCCGGCTGCCTGTTACTTTGGCTCTCGGCTCCATGCCCGCCATCCTGATCAGTGTGAAGCTGCTTCCTGTCTCTCGTCCAGTGTGACTGGTTTGGGCCGGTCTGTGACTGGCGTGTACCGATTCTGCTGGTGAATCTTTGTGCTGTGTCTGCTGCGGCGTAGGGTTCATCCCCAAACTGACTTTATTGAAACTACTGCTGCTTGATTTTTTTGTGCACTGAACTGTTTTAATATGAAATGTGTGATTTGAATGTCTTTTTATTTTGACAGAAACGGCCAGCTCCTGGTGTTGGTGGTGGACTTTCCGGATGGTGGTACTCCTTTCGGTTTGGTGCACGAGTTTTTTTTTGCTGTGTTCTTTTGTAGGTCACTACCCTGATTTAGACTGCCATCCTGGAGTTGAGCTGTGACTGTTATTTTAATGTGTGAGTGGTTTTAAATTGCTTTGTTCCAATAACTGTAATAAAATCATTGAATCTGGTGAGATTGTCTCAAGCCTCATCTTTAGCGGGCCTGTGTGCCTTCAAGGTAACTTTCAAGGGAAATTATTGCAACCTTACATTAAATTTGCAGTTTTAAAGTGCAGTTACCAATTTGGATCACTCGGTACCACTACATATGAAGGTTTCCGAGAACTCTCAAGACAACCTGGTTACTATTATATTCCATTATGAATATGTTGGGGAGACCAAGGTGTTCTTAATGCTTCCCAGGTGTTTGCGGAGACAAAAAAAGCAGTACTAAAGAACTTTATGTGTTGGACGATTTTGGCTCCGCCTAGTGGATGAAAGCTGTATTGTTTGCCTGAAGGAAGACAACATTTTCCATGAGCATCAGCGTGGTAAAGACCATATCGTGGTAAAATCCAGATCTCCTGGAAACCTGCAGTTGGATAAAACCACATTTCTGTTTCCAGTAGCTGTGTGAAAGATAAATAGTGATGAGGTAATAAATCTAATTGTGGTGACACAATGTTGTATGACGATGTCTAGTTTTGTAGCCCCCGGCCACCTCACCCGACTCGTCAGAGACTGATGTGACAACCAGTTTAGAGCCTTGAAATAAACATAACATAATGTCAACCCTGCACAATTTGCACAAATATACAGTCTCTCAGGGAAACTTTGTCGCATCACTTCCGTCGTTTTAACAAATGGGGAAAGTGACGTATGCCATCTGCACATTTTTAGGTGTTTTGTGTTGCATGGTTACTTCCACCCTATTCAAAGTAGCTTAGTGTCTATGATAGAGGTCATTCAACAAGTTGTTGGCTGACGTATAATCAGAAATGTAATGAAAAAATTCTATGAAGATTGCTTAGTTTTGGTTAAAAGATGGGAGTGGGGTCTTAATCTGGACTAAAGGTGGGGCCTTCTTCAGTGGACACATGTCTCCCCCCTCTCTAGTAACCCCTTCCCTGTCAGCCCACAATACAAAAAAACAAAAAAACAAAACAAACACGAGCACTGGTGCTGTAAAAAACGTGAAATATTTCAAGAAGGGTGTGCTAACAACACTGAACTCAGTTAGGGTGGATAGATAATGGATTTAGAGCTGACCTACTCACATGTATTTTTAGTAATTTGAGTGAAGAATTTGGTGGATATCTAATTGCGGTGGTAGAATACTTCCTATATCCTTTCCATTTAGAAGAAGCCTCACCTGTGGAGTAATACTCCAAGACCGGATCTTTACAAAAGGACTTGAACTTCCATGAGACGAGGACCTCCTGAGGGTTGGCTGATGTTGAGTAGTCGCAGTGGATTGTCACAGAGCCAAACAGCGTTGTTGACCTCTCAGTCTCTGGGACGACCACCTGAATGGACAGCAGCTCTGGGACAGAACGTAAAAGAACGGAATAATAAACACATTCTTTGACTGGAACCAGCATAACTGTGGTTAAACGCTGGAATCCAACCAGACCAGTTAACAGTTTACAGCAACTAGACTAATGTCATCACCACTAATAACAGTAGTCAGTAATGAGCAGTAAACTGTACTCTTGATGACAGGTATATGCTGCTGATAAATCAAACTATGAGTTAAGATAACAGAAAAAAAAAAAAAAACATTAAGGAGTGCTGGTGCCCATCTCCAGCTGTCTACGGCGAGATGGACTGGTGTAAACAGGATAAGGCCGTATCTGTGGGCAGCCTTGTCCTGGTGACCTGGACAGGTCGCCAGTCCATCGCAGGGCAACACAGAGACAAACAGGACAAACAACCATTCACGAAAACACACACCTAAGGAGAATCTAGAGAAACCAATTAACGTAACATTCATGTTGTTGGACTGTGGGATGAGGCCGGAGTGACCGGAGAGAACCCACGCATGCTCAGGGAGAACATGCAAACTCCATGCAGAAAGACCCCGGGCCGGGAATCGAACCCAGAACCTTCTTGCTGCAAGGCAGCAGTACTACCCACTGCATCAGGAGCAGGTACAGGGTTGTGCATTTGCATTTTATTTGAGAAAAAAAAGTCCTGTCACCTCCAGATATTTAGAGAAAATGTATTGCTTAAACAGTAGGTAAATCCTCTATAACAGATGTTCCTAAACATTTCAGCCTCTGACCCAAAAATAAAAAGTCAACAGACTGCGACTCCCTAAAAATACGTAATTACTCCATTACTTCCCCCTATTTTAAATATAATGTTATTATTTACATATATAAATAAATGTATATTTTTAAACCTCTAATTTGCCATTTTAAATATTTTAATGTTTAATTATTTGATTGTGCATTTTAGAAATTGATTGATAAATGTCATGTTTTTAATAAATTAATAAACTAATGTTACATTTACTTATTTCATGGTACTTTTATAAAACATTTTGACCCTCCATATACCTTGTACGGCGGAGTATTAGGCGCAGGCTAGAGATTTTTATTTTCTTTATCTCGGGAATAAAGTCTTAATATTATGAGCATGAAGTCATAAAAATTACAAGAATAACATCGTAATGAGAATAGTCTTAAAATTACGAGAATAAAGTCGCAATGAGAATAGTCATAAAATTACGAGAATAAAATCGCAATGAGAATAGTTGTAAAATTACGAGAATAAAATCGTAACGAGAATAGTCAAAAAATTATGAGAATAAAATTGCAATGAGAATAGTCGTAAAATTACGAGAATAAAATCGTAACGAGAATAGTCAAAACTACGAGAATAAAATCGTAACGAGAATAATCATAAATTTACGAGAGTAAAATCACAACGAGAATAGTCTTAAAATTAAAAGAGTAAAATCGCAACAAAATAAGTTATAAAATTACGAGAATGAAATAACGAGAATAGTCATAAAATTACGAGAATAAAATCGTAACGAAAGAGTCATAAAATACATGAATAAAATCATAACGAAAGAGTCATAAAATACATGAATAAAATCATAACGAAAGAGTCATAAAATTATGAGAATAGTCATGGAATTACAAGAATAGTCATAAAATTACGAGAATAGTCATACAATTACACAAATAAAGTCATATTATAAGAATAAAGTTAGAAAATTACGAGAATAAAGTCGCAAACCCACCGCCCACCGGTGGGCCCCGCCCCCCATTTTGGGAACCCCTATGAGCTTTCTATTGCAAAGCTGACCTCAATATAAAAAAAATAAATAAATAAACTGGAATCAAAAGCTCTTTATAACTTATTTTTTAAAAACAAAAGTGACAATTTCAGTTACTCAAGAGATACAAGAGATAAAAGTAAAGAGTAAAAGTAAAGAGGATTAAATTCTTTTGTTCACATGTTGGAGTCAGTTTTGATTGAAAAACTAGGGCGCCCACAGATACGGCCTTGTCCTGTTTACACCTGTCGATCATTAACTTTTCGGCGTTGCTGTTACTTTCGACTATTGGTTTAGGTATTCTTTTTTTTATTTCTAAATTTCTCTCTTTTAGGTTTCAAAAAGGGATACTGCAGTAATAGTTAGGCACGGATGGATTTTTAAGTGAGCCTCACCTGTTGGCAGGTGCAGCAGCAGAAACAACAGAAGTATCATGTTTCCCATTTCAGTGATCTGTATCCTTCCGCGGAATCTTCACTTCTTGCTCTGTAAGTAGCCGAAATCCTCCAAAAAAGACGGAATATTGACAGAAAAACGTCGCGTAAATGCTTCCAAACATAATAACCAGGCTTTCCACCTATGGCAGAATGTTAACAGGCTATTTTTATAATAGAGTATTTTTTTTCTCCCTGCAGGAGCAGCGGTACACAACCGAACTTCCCAGTGGAGAGGCTGCTCATCCCCTCCCCCACCTAGATACAGGTGACATCACTTCCCCCGCCCACACTAACAGGTGCATTTGTGAATTTTTTATTTTTTTT